TAAACTTATCCAATTTATACCCATTGTTTGGTGTTCTGTCTTGTGTTGATACTTTTAATACCCCCTATTAATATCCCCCTTTTGTTATGTCCATTCATCCACTTGTAAACCTCTATCATGTCACCACCTAATTAACACTATACATATATTAAAGAGCATGAATGCCTTTCAGTGAGAAAATTGTATTTTATAATATAAAACTCCACTCCAAGATATATAGGCATCAATAACTCATATATATAACAATAATAATATAGGCTATCATATATAACTCTATAGGCTATCATATATAACTAATATAAATAATATAGGCTATCATATATAACTCCAAAATATACAGGTAGCAGTCTAGGGGTTTATAAGTGTTTTCAACTGAGTTAGAAACTGCTTTTTCGCGTCCCAGATTCCCAGCAGCAGATCGCGCCCTTCCCCTTGAGAAACCTGCTACCGACCAACGTGGCCGAGTTCTACAGCTACCAGGGCTCCTTGACTACTCCGCCCTGCTCGGAGATCGTTACCTGGACCGTCTTCAAGAACCCCATCACCATCTCCCTCGCTCAGGTGAGCTCCTGAGATATATATACACACCTCAGATGCAAATCACTACAAGATTAAAACTAGCGCACTAAAACAGAAGCGAAAAAGAAACAGGGAAAAAGGAGGAAACCCCACCTGCGTTTAAAACTTTGACCCCCAAATATCAGAGAAACAAGGTTATCGGGAATAACCGAACTCAATTACGGGCTCACCATAGACCGTGCTACATGGATATTTCGTTCTGAGTAGCTGAATCTAAAACAACAACAATAATGTAAATCACTGTCCTTTTACGGGCTATTCATGCCCGTGCCACCTTTTGGGTGGCTTAATCTTCATACATTAATCAAATCAGCGCGTAAATACCTGTTTATAATTGGGTCTGCAACCTCGACATGCAATCGAGGAGACCAGGCTTCGATACCCAATCGGGTTAGGCAATTTTTTCCTTTTACCTGGTGCCTCTGTTCACCTCAGCATTAAATAAGGTACCCGAATTAGTCAACTATTGTGAGTTGCATCCTGTGTAAGGTCAGTAACTCTCCCAACCTTTGGGGGGTTGGGGGAGAGGGGAATGGTGGGGAGGACTGGGAAACAGAAGATTGCTGACGTATTTCAGCACCTTTGGTAATGTTTTAAGTGTGATGTTAAATGGTGATATTTTGTAATGTTACTTAAAGTGGTTGGAATATTTCAGCTTGAAAAGTTCTGGGAGCTGATTGGCGAAGATGGGGACCTGATACTGGACAACTTCAGACCTACTCTCCCTGTGGGGAGTCGCACGGTGAGTGAGAGAGTGAGAGAGTGAGAGAGTGAGAGAGAGAGAGAGAGAGAGAGAGAGAGAGAGAGAGAGAGAGAGAGAGAGAGAGAGAGAGAGAGAGAGAGAGAGAGAGAGAGAGAGAGAGAGAGAGAGAGAGAGAGAGAGAGAGAGAGAGAGAGAGGAGAGAGAGAGAGAGAGAGAGAGAGAGAGAGAGGAGAGAGAAGAGAGAGAGAGAGAAGAGAGAAGACAGACAGAGAGAGAGAGAGAGAGAGTGTGAGAGAGAGTGAGTGAGTGAGAGAGAGAGGAGAGAGAGAGAGAGAGAGAGAGAGGAGATGAGAGAGAGAGAGAGGAGAGAGAGAGTGAGAGAGAGAGAGAGAGAGATGAGAGAGAGCGAGAGAGAGAGAGAGAGAGAGAGAGAGAGAGTTGGAGAGAGAGAGAGAGAGAGAGAGCGAGAGAGTGAGAGAGTGAGAGAGTGAGAGAGAGAGATGAGAATTATTTGTATTAGATTATAGAGAAGTATATTATATTGAGAGAGAAAGATATTATATACTATTATATTAATAGCTTTAATATTCGTAATAGTATTCGGTCTATTATTATTACAATTATTATAATTGAAACTATTAATTATGTCATTAACCCAGGTGTGTCATTCTACAGGTGTATGGGGGGAGTCTCACCCTCTCTGGGGCTACGTTGGGGCCACAGGTGAGTTCAACCCCCCCCCCCCCTCTGTTGACTGTATCTGTTGTATCTGTTATCCGTTACTCTCATTCTCTTCGGCTTTGACTAGTTTACGCTCATATAAGTTCACTCTGTTTACCTGTTAATTTCCCTTTTCCTGTTGCTAATCTCCGGATTTTCCCCCCTTCTTTTGTTTATATTCCCTTTCTGTGCCGGATTAATCTCCGGATTTTCCCCTCTTTCTTTTGTTTATATTCCCCTTCCTATGGTTCAAGTCCGTCGCATCTCCCCTCACAGGTCCACAGAGTTGGCCCACCAACTACCCAACATGTGGAGCCTCGGCTCAGTCACCCATCGACATCGTCATAGTTAACACGGTTCTCACTTTACTACCAGCCTTCGCCTTTACCGGCTACGACGCCCTTCCTGCTAAGACGACACCGCTAAACAACGGACATACTGGTGAGTGAGGGAGGAGCGCCATCTATTGCGACCGTATTCATTTGCATAATAGGACATAAACAATGAAGAATGATACGAACAGAACGACTAGTTCTATTAGGTTGATCGAGCGATAGTTCAGCGCAAGCGATCTCGTTTCTAAAAAATTTGTACCACGTTAGAAACCCTCCACGACTCTGGAATTCTGGTGTTCAAGGGTTGTATTACATCCATAAAGGATGTAATACTTGGAACGTTTTGTTCCCAGTAGCTGAATCTTAAACAACAACAAACACTTGTCTAATCTCAACCTGCTCTTCCCCGCAGCCTTGGTGTCTCTGGCGATGGCGGCCGGTGTAGGCCAGCCTACCATCAGTGGAGGAGGCCTACCAGGAGCCTACACCTTCACTCAGTTCCACTTCCACTGGGGCAAGAACGTCAATGAAGGATCCGAACACACTATCAACGGAGCCAAGTAAGTTCTTGTGTTCCTCTAGATGTACACACACTTGTGGGAGTCTAGTCTAGTCCTGGGCTATGGTTCCCAATTATAATTCACTGTGTATACTTGCTTCTTGGGAGCCGAGCGGACAGCACACTGGATTTGTGATCCTGGGTTCGATCCTGGGCGCCGGCGAGAAACAATGGGCAGAGTTTCTTTCATTCTATTCACTGTTACCTAGCAGTAAAATAGGTACCTGGGTGTTAGTCAGCTGTCACGGGCTGCTTCCTGGGGGTAGAGGCCTGGTCGAGGACCGGGCCGCGGGGACACTAAAAAGCCCCTTAATCATCTCAAGATAACCTCAAGATAGCAAAACCATTATAGCAGACCGGTGATCGAACTATGGTATCCTGAGTCACCGCAGACGCGCGCCTTACCAATGGAACACAATATACTAAACTGTTACCACATCTTGCTCCATTGGCAAGGCGCCCGTCTAGGATGCCTCAAGATGCTATAGTTCGATCCCACTGTCATATCCCAAAGATGCAGGCGATGAGTCACAATAACGTGGCTGAAGTATGTTGACCAGACCACACACTAGAAGTTGAAGGGACGACGACGTTTCGATCCGTCCTGGACCATTCTCAAGTCGATTGTGATCGACTTGAGAATGGTCCAGGACGGACCGAAACGTCGTCGTCCCTTCAACTTCTAGTGTGTGGTCTATCTTGAGATGATGGTTATCTTGAGATGATTTCGGGGCTTTTTAGTGTCCCCGCGGCCCGGTCCTCGACCAGGCCTCCACCCCTAGGAAGCAGCCCGTGACAGCTGACTAACACCCAGGTACCTATTTTACTGCTAGGTAACAGGGGGCATAGGGTGAAAGAAACTCTGCCCATTGTTTCTCGCCAGCGCCTGGGATCGAACCCAGGACCACAGGATCACAAGTCCAGCGTGCTGTCCGCTCGGCCGACCGGCTCCTATCTGGTCAACAATCCCAAAGATGTTCTTCAATAACAAGTCTACCAACTCGATTAATGAACTTTTCCCTCTGTGTTTCCCCCTGCTTGTGACCAACAGGTTCCCGGGAGAGCTGCACATGGTCCACTACAAGACGGAGTACGGCAGCCTGGCGGAGGCGGTGAGCCACGCTGACGGAGTGGCAGTGTTGGGGATCCTGCTGGAGGTTGTCACCGCTGACAACCCCAAGCTGGCTAGCATCATCACCGGCCTCTCTAAAGTACACGATGCTAGTGAGTACACCTGATTCCTGTGTGCGTTCTGGGATGGGTTGATGAAGATTAAGCCACCCAAAAGGTGGCACGGGCATGAATAGCTCGTAAGTGGTGGCCTTTTTTGAGCCATTACCAGTATCAATAGATGATACTGGAGATCTGTGGAGGTGCGACTGCACCCTGCGTGACGGGAGATGTCTCCCGTGATTGATTGATTGATTGATGAAGATTAAGCCACCCAAAAGGTGGCACGGGCATGAATAGCCCGTAAGTGGTGGCCCTTTTTGAGCCATTACCAGTATCAGTAGATGATACTGGAGATCTGTGGAGGTGCGACTGCACCCTGCGTGACGGGTGATGTCTCCCGTGGCGTTCTGGGGCTTATTAACACGAATTAACCCCCTCCCCCTTCCCACTCTTCTCTCTATCCTAAAGAACCGGTTGGAGAGGAACCACATTCGCCCGCTACCCCCCCCACTACCACCTGCCCATTAAACCATATCACCACTAACCATACTAACCCCCATATAATTTGTTTTTAATTTTGCCCTGAGGGGCGAGTTTATTGGGCAGCGCCACTCATCCTGTGAGTGGACACACCGCCATAGCAGCATGTACAACACTCCCCAATGGGAAGAAAACCCGTTGGGTTGTTCAACCACCATCCCCACTTTCACCCCCCAACCCGTTCTCGCACTTTCTTATAGTCAATATTGACTTATTAAATAAGTGCATATGTGACATACTAATTTATTGTGACTATTTTAGTTTACCTTGAAAAGCTTCATAGAAAACACCGACCTTACCTAACCTTCTTAGTATGTTAAGATAAGCATCTTATTGCTTCGTAATTACAATTATTACTTAACCTATACCACTGCTCGTTTCCCCCCACCAGATACCAACACGACGCTGGCCACCTTCGCTCTACAAGACCTGCTACCGTCCAATACACTGCCGTTCTTCCGGTACCAAGGCTCCCTCACCACGCCCCCCTGTAATCAAGTAGTTACCTGGACAGTCTTCAAGAATACTCTTCCCATCTCAGCTGCTCAGGTAAGTTGGACGGTCTTCAGGTGACGGTGAGATCTGTAATGAATAACTGTCTGTTAATTCTTGCGTTAATTATGTACTAATTAGTGAGGCTACTGATAATGAGTTATAATTAATAATAAATCTGAATGATTTAATATAGCAATTATAATTATGGCTTGGGAACTAAACCAAGAAACAGACAACATAAGGTACTTACATACTTGAGTGTATATATCAACAGTTCTTTTTTTAGCATATTGAATTGAAAGCAATGCATGTTGTAGTTGATTTAAAGCAATGGGAGCAGAAATAGTTGACCTCTCTCCCGCATTGTTGACATAGAACAGCTGGTCGCACGAGGACGGATTACGTCCAGTTGGTGCGAGGAAATCGAAGAAAACGAATAATAGAAAATGGTACATACACACAATCAAAGGGTATCTTTTCCGTTTCAGCTGGAGGAGTTCCGGAAGTTGGAAGAATTGGATGGCCAACTACTGGAGGAAAATTTCCGGCCAGTGCAACCCCTTAATGGACGTCAGGTAAGAGCCAGCAAAGTCAAGACAAACATCTATGTACACATACATTGGTTAAGACTTTAGTAAACTGACATGAGTTAGATTCAACACTGAAAGCACAGCAACTCTCTGAATATATCAGGAATACATAGAAGTAAACAAAACCAGCTGACAGACATAGTAGCCTTAATCAAAGAGTCACGGAAGAACCCACAATAGAGTAGCACAGAGGTAGACACACATCTTCAAGACACAGAAGTAGACAGTACCTTTCTTAAGGCTTAAATTTCAACATAACCTGCAGACAGGAAGGCATAACTAGGAGACACAGGTTGAAGGCGCGTAACGAGGGGAGACTCACGTAGACAATGAACACACACAAGTGAGTTTGAGAAACGGTAAATAAAAGTTGTTTTTTTCAGGTGTTGATCAGCAAGATCTGAGGGCCCTTTGTAGTGCAGTGGCCACCGGACACCACCACGACCAGCCACTACCAGCATCACTACCACCACCACTACCACCACCACCATCGCCAAATCCGTCAACTGAACTGGCTCCACCACCACCCACATCAACTACACCATCACAAAGCACAAACGTACAAGGCTACTTTCCACCATTCCTCCCATTCTCTCCAATTTTCTTTCCCTTTCCCTCCCTCCCTCCTTCCATCCCTTCTCTCCCTCTTTCCCATTCAATATACTATTCATTCAAGAGGCTTCAACGAATCCAACACTAACTTCTTTATATCACAGACCGAAAACTATATCTTCAATATCAGTAACATTAGTCAAAGTCTGTAACTTAATTTATTTGGATGAATTTCATTAATAAAGTTTATTACTGTCGGTGCTAATTAATCCGATTATAAGACATAAATAAATTCATATTATTGGCAGTGTCTTCATTACACATCACATTCCCCCATAGTAAACTATTTTGGAAAATTGGTTCCTATTTTTTTATGTTGAGTTTTTAATTAATTTGTTGTGTGTTCATGTAATATTATTTTTATACACTACAAACACACACACACACACCTGGTGGCAGGAAAGGCGGGGCCCGTAAGCTAAAGCCTGATCCTACAGACATATAAATAGGTGAAAACCCACACACGCGCTAACTCAACTTTTTCTAACATATAAATTCTGTAATTAATAATTTAATTAAATAATTGAGTAATGTAAGCCTGATCATTGACATTTTCAATACACAGTTCACAGCATATATTTATATAACATTTATATCATATATTTAATGGCTCAATATTGTATCAAACACGTTCAGCATTGTTTATATTAATAGTTATATTAGTATTTGGAACGACACGGTTTAGGCGAGCCTAAATTGACGGTTAAATGGTACAGAATGGAAAATATATCAGTTCATATGAGTTAGGCTACTGTTGTGGTTGGCATCTTGTAGAAGATAAGCCATTGGTGCGGGGCTGTTAGTTCCCAGTGTGGGTCGTATGGTCCTGTTATTTCCTCTAGTATATGTTCCAAGATGGATCTAGTATGTATATGTTTCAAGGTGTCTCTAGTATGTATATACTCCAAAATGTTCCTAGTGTATGTGTATGTATATTCTAATGTAGCTTGAGTGACTTAAAACAGCCTTAGCATACATATACACTAGTTATCTTCGAGCATATATACATTAGTCACCTTGATACATAAACCTGATTTTTTAATTTTAATTATACACTATACATAGATAACCGAGAAGTCATATATATATCCTAGACAGAACTCCACTAACGTAGGAAGACCTCGATCGCTCAATCAACTCATTCCATATATGTAATGCCACTACCCAATCTGTAGCCATTTTTTTAGTGTATAATTACGCAACAATGCGTGAAATTACTTTACGAGTGTGTGTAATTAGCTAAACACACTGTATGTGTTAGGTCTTGGTTTCTGATGTTCATAGTCGTCTCACGGCGGGCCATCGCCTACGATTTTACTGTGTTCTATAAAATCTAGTCAAAAATGTTGTTATGTCTCAATATTTTCAACATTCGTGTTTAAATACGAATTCTTGAGTTATCCTTAAAGGGTATAAATGCTCAAGGAAGAATATCTGGGGGTTTGAAACTGCTTTGGTCGACGTATTAAAGAAAAAATTGTGTTTTGGTCGACATAATATTGTCGCCATCTGATGGCGGATTCAGCAGAATTAAACATTAAAAAAAACTGAGGGTTTTAATTGCATTCCTTTTAGGTGTTTTGTGTACATGAGCGTAAATAGCATCGAGCAGTATCATTATATTCATTTTCCACCAAGAAATATATTTAGCACCCAAATCATGTTTTAAATAGGCTATAGCCTGAAGCCTAGCACAATACAATACAATACAATTTTATTTAGGTAAGGTACATACATACAATAAATTTTTACAAGGATTGGTTGAGTAAGATCATATTATAGATAGTAAGATCAATTACTATCAATTACTAGTAATTACAAGATTACTATCATAGATAGTAAGATCAATTAGTCTGGCCAGAATACACAAAATGGCTATCATGACATTTGGTTCTAATTTTGTTACTGAGCTGAATATAAAAAACATATTAATGATAAAAATAGGCTTAGGCATGCTTTCTTTGCTAGTATTTAAATATATCGAGGCTTATCATAAATATAGCCAAGAAACATATTTCAGATCAGCTCAAGCTTCATATTAAAGTATAGTTCTTTGAGATCAGGTGATTATGAGGATAAAGTACTAAGCCACCGTGACTATATGCGCATTGGAAGGGATATGAAGACGGAACTGGGATACGAGGACAAGGAACTGGGATATGAGGACAAGGAACGGGGATATAAGGAAAAGGAACGGGGATATGAGGACAAGGAACTGGGATATAAGGACAAGGAACGGGGATATGAGGACAAGGAACGGGGATATAAGGACAAGGAACGGGGATATGAGGACAAGGAACTGGGATATAAGGACAAGGAACGGGGATATGAGGACAAGGAACTGGGATATAAGGACAAGGAACGGGGATATGAGGACAAGAAACTGGGATTTGAGGACAAAGACCTGGGGTTTGAGGAAAGAAAGATACCCAACCACTTGGACAAAAGGGGGGAGGGGGATCAAACCACGGTCTCCTCAGAAATGAGGATGTCATTTTTTACCAACCTGTCCAAGTAGCCCCGCTGATACTCAAGTCACAGACAACTTTCTTCCACAATCCAAATACACCACATGATGGCTCCTTACATCATCCCAAATGAAGCTGTCGGAAGAGGAATTGCTATGATGATGATTGACGGCCTTTATCTTGGGTGTGGGGGGGGGGAGGTGGGGATGAATCAGTCCATCATCTCCAGCCTTCCCAACGCCACTTAATTACCCGAACCTAACCTAACCTAGGACCCACGAATAGAAAACAGGACATCGCGTCAATTTTGCGAGCTAGGGGAAGAGTAATACATAAATAATTTCAACAGAACCTCATACCTCTCGGACGAAGTGAAAACTACAGTTCTATGCCTCCATATTATCGTACTATCTTGCACAGAGAGCCATATGAAATATCAAATCAAATCTTGCGACTGCTATATATGCAGCTACAGCTAGACTTAGGCTTGCCGAATATATATGTAATTTTACGTGAATAAACATTTGAATTTGATTTTGAATTTGATTCTCTAAAATATTTGTTGTTTTAGGCTCGTAGACTATGTCAACTTTGCGAGGCCGAGAGCCAATCAGCGATCATCTTACAAACCGCGTCGGCGCCAGCTGTAAACATGGCCTCGGGGTCGAAGGAAAAGCCTTCACAAATTCGCGGAAAGACAAGGAAATTGTTCTTTAAGGAGAGCCAGCAGCTGGCGGAGCAGCTGTCAGCAGTGTCTGGAGAGGACTGGGTGGGAGCCGTCGCCAGCTACGCTAGTGATAATGGTAATCATTCAGACCGGCGGCCGCCACTCGGTCAATCAGGTTTAACAACTTTTGAGACTGGTATGGAACTGGATGGGTGACCTCCTGTCCTTGACTGTGACTCTGATGAATAACAGAATGGGGTTAGGTGCAAACAGCTTCACACTTGGCTAGGGAGGCCTTGGTAGCCTAACCCTTATAGGCTTCTTGTCCTTGGCAATATAATACTGCCCGAATATAGTCAATATAATACTCCCCGAATAGTCAAAAAAGATTGCCCGAATAGTCAATATAATACTGCCCAAATATATAGTCAATATAAGACTGCCCGAATATAGTCGATATAATACTGCCCGAATATAGTCAATATAAGACTGTCCGAATATAGTCAATATAATACTGCCCGAATATAGTCAATATAATACTGCCCGAATATAGTCAATATAAGACTGCCCGAATATAGTCAATATAATACTGCCCGAATATAGTCAATATAAGACTGTCCGAATATAGTCAATATAATACTGCCCGAATATAGTCAATATAATACTGCCCGAATATAGTCAATGTAATACTGGCCGAATATAGTCAATGTAATACTGCCCGAATATAGTCAATGTAATACTGCCCGAATATAGTCAATGTAATACTGGCCGAATATAGTCAATGTAATACTGCCCGAATATAGTCAATGTAATACTGGCCGAATATAGTCAATGTAATACTGCCCGAATATAGTCAATATAATACTGCCCGAATATAGTCAATGTAATACTGGCCGAATATAGTCAATGTAATACTGCCCGAATATAGTCAATGTAATACTGCCCGAATATAGTCAATGTAATACTGCCCGAATATAGTCAATGTAATACTGCCCGAATATAGTCAATGTAATACTGCCCGAATATAGTCAATATAAGACTGCCCGAATATAGTCAATATAAGACTGCCCGAATATAGTCAATATAAGACTGCCCGAATATAGTCAATATAAGACTGCCCGAATATAGTCAATATAAGACTGCCCGAATATAGTCAATATAAGACTGCCTGAATAAAGTCAATATAAGACTGCCCGAATATAGTCAATATAAGACTGCCCGAATATAGTCAATATAAGACTGCCCGAATATAGTCAATATAAGACTGCCCGAATATAGTCAATATAAGACTGCCCGAATATAGTCAATATAAGACTGCCCGAATATAGTCAATATAAGACTGCCCGAATATAGTCAATATAAGACTGCCCGAATATAGTCAATATAAGACTGCCCGAATATAGTCAATATAAGACTGCCCGAATATAGTCAATATAAGACTGCCCGAATATAGTCAATATAAGACTGCCCGAATATAGTCAATATAAGACTGCCCGAATATAGTCAATATAATACTGCCCGAATATAGTCAATATAAGACTGCCCGAAACGCTTTGTGTAATAGTGGCTTTAGGCATTGTATGTACTAGCTCTATCTATAAATCGATCAATTTTTGTAAAATCTCTTGTATGTATGTACCTTACCTGAATAAACATTTATTTATTTATTTTATTTATGTATTACTAGTATACAGTACTGATTAAACTGGAAATGGTCATAATTTGCTTGTAATTCATACTAAGATCTGTCACAGTTAATGATATTATTAGTGCTAATAATGCAATACATGTTTATGCACATTTATGGATCAAAAATCAGAAAAAAGAAAGTAGATTCTTGCTATTAAAACTGTAACTTTTTAAATTTATGCATTGTCAATGCCAACAATCTTGATTTTGCACAAAATGTAAAACATAGATTAACCTGTAGATTATCACAGGTAGGGTAACTGTTGTTAATGATTCGCTACTTGGAACAAACGGTTCTAAGTAGCATGGGCTATGGTGAGCCCGTAGGTACTTAGGTAGGGTAACCTGTGGCACAGTGGTTAGTGCGGTTGGTTGCAGCCACAAGGCCACTACAAAAAGTGGCCCAGAAGGTCCAACAAAGTAACCACAGATGGATTTGACGGATTATTTGAAACATGCGTTACACAAAATAATTTAAAAGTAATAACAATCTGTTCAATCATAAAATAAATATAATTATTTTGATATAGGTCAGCTTGCTGCCCTGCAGGCAAACTTATGTTAGGTACCATTATAATTAAGTGCAGTAATGTGGACCTCAGTATGAAAGTGTTAAGTTATCATTGATGAAAAGAATGATATATATTTTTTGCATGGCACAGCTAACTGAAAACTGAGTGATGTTTTTATATATTGTAGCTACAGTGTATGTGTAGATTATGTATTGGTGTTTAGAAATTACTACAGGTAGTTGGATAACAAGAACCTTTCAGGCAAGATGCTACATCAATGATGATACTTTTTAAGACACTAGTGCTGTCTAGAGTGGAATATTGTTGCACACTAACAGCTTCATTCAAAGCTGGAGAAATTGCAGATTATGCAAAGATCTTTTACTTCTAGAATTTAATAAATAAAACATCAAAATTATTGGGACCGCTTACAAATCTTAAATCTGCATTCCCTAGAGTGCAAGTAGGAGATACATAAATATTTACACTTGGAAAATACTAGGACCAGTTCCAAATCTGCACACAGAAATAACACCACATGAGACCAGAAGGCATGGCAGAATGTGAAAAATAGCTCCATGCAAAAACAGAGGTGCAGTAGGCATGCTGAGAAAGAACTCGATCAACATCAAAGGCTCAAGACTTTTACAACACTCTCCCTCTACACATATGGGGCATAACTGGCCAACCTTTTGCAGTGTTCAAAAGTGAACTTGATAAACACCTTCAAATGATACATGATCAACCAGGCTGTGACTCGTATATCAGGCTGTGAGCAGTTGCATTAAACAGCCATTGGTTGACCAGACCAACCAGGAGGCATTATTAAAAAGTGCAAGAAAAGAATTTAGTGTAAATTCTGTAATGCTTGGCTTTTAATTATCCTTCTGTATTTTTCAGAGCTGCACCTACAGATTTTCCCTGAAAGAAATGTTCTTCACAGAAAAATCATGGCAAAACATGCATCACAGTTGGGCTTATTTCTTCAAGGTCTGGTCAAGAAATATTTAGAGTTGTACACAGGTGAATTGGGGGCAAGTGCAACTATGTTGTTCTCCTTTATTGAATTTCTTCGAAAAACCTTTGATGGGGAAACCAAGTTGTCAGGTTAGTACAATTTACTAAACATTTATCTTTAGTGTTTATATATATTCGATTCTGTAATAATAGTACAAAAGTAATAATAATAACAAGATATTACCCATTCACATGACTTTGAGAAACTGACGGATTGCATTAACACAGTTTACATGGGTCGATTAGAAGTAGAATGTGAAAAGAATAGGTAAAGAAGATGGACAAATGAGGTTAGGGGGCATAACTGGCCAACCTTTTGCAGTGTTCAAAAGTGAACTTGATAAACACCTTCAAATGATACATGATCAACCAGGCTGTGACTCGTATATCAGGGGCATAACTGCCCCTGATATACGAATACCTATTCGTATATCCATTCCATCCCAGGGGCATGTGATGGAATGGGTATTGATTGTGTAGGGAAAGAAATCCAGGTGGCAGCCGGTGGAAACGAAGTGGTTTGTTTGTATATGCCAGGTCTATGAGCAGCATTGCATACCTAATTTTATGAAGGGGTTTAGGAATTATTGTGTATGATTTGCTAGAGATTTACATGCTGGTTCTCTGTGATACCATGCTGTTTGTACAATAGTTTGAATGGATAGATATAATTTATTATTTGCTATTAATTTACCTACTTTTCCTATATTGCTTCCCCATTTTCTCTGGGATGATTCTTTTCACACCAATTAAAGTAGGAAGTGAATTAGTGATGAAATAAAGCCGTACTGTATTCTTAAATAAAGATATATCTATGCAATATTTTGACATGTAAGTACAGATATTATTTAATTTGTTTTGTTAGATACAGTTACAGCATATAATAATAAAGACAGATGATAATACTATGTCATTCTAATTACAAAACAGTGATGAACAAATCCACAAGGGCCGTGACGAGGATTCGAACCTACGTCCGAGAGCATCCCAGACGCTGCCTTAATCGACTGAGCTACGACATGGTCAAAAGAATTGAAACCAGAAGTTCTACTGAACTTACTTGGATCCTGCAGCCTCTCCGAGACACAAACCAGGGTTTTACACAATCCACCATGCACTCGAGCTATGTCAATAGGCCGTTCTACCTCTTTGCCCTTACTGTGTAATGAAGCAAATTGGAATTGTGTAAAACCATGGTTTGTGTCTCGGAGAGGCTTCAGGATCCAAGTAAGTTCAGTAGAACTTCTGGTTTCAATTCTTTTGATCACGTCGTAGCTCATTCCATTAAGGCAGCGTCTGGGATGCTCTTGGATGTAGGTTCGAATCCTCATCATGGTCCTTGTGGATTTGTTCATTTGATGCATCATGCTAGTGTGATTTCTGTGTGAAACAACATTGATGATCACAATAATGTCACAAATTTAAGCAACAAAATAACAAGATAAGAATTTTTATTGATATGAATGTAATAAAGAAAAATTAAGACTGTTTATAATAATACTGAATAAAGTAACGATAATGACTTTATAAACAGCAAAACTAATTACAGTAATGATGACAACATACCTATTCTTACTCCAAAAATTTAGCAGAGGGAACTGTAGAGCAATAGATTCCTGGGAGTTGGTAAGTTGTTGTGGGGTTTATTTTCTATATTTTTATTGCTAGTACCTCTACCACATCATTTATAGAGCTTACGAGCCCCGAGCACACAAGATCACCTCTGATATACAAACCAATTGGCAGAATTGGTCTCGGGCTTTACAAAACTAAAGTCATTATAATTTAAAGTAGGTAATAGATGTGCAATATATGATTCATCAAGAATAGTCAAAAAGAAAACCCTTTACTGTACCTAATTTGTACCTCATGTTACATTTAAAATTTGCTGACTATTTTGACATGAAAGCAGCACAAAATGTTTACTGTAATATCCAATGAAGGCTAACATAAAATCATTCAAGTTAAAAACCCAACCCACAAATCTGAAAATAAAAGAATTGATGATATTCCCAATATACTGTGCAACTTGATGGTCCAGAACGGACCAAAACCTTCTAAACTTTTACCTCTCGGCTTTCTGGATTGGGTGTGTAATTTTCAGCCAAATTATTTTGATTTATTGTCTGCACATTTAAATGAAATAACAAATTTATTCAAAGATGTTATGTATGATCATTAGAAATGAAACCAATGTCTGCATACCCCATTTGAAGCATAAGTATGGAATGGAAGTTATATAAACTTAAGCTGGTTATTTCCATTTCAGAGTTATGGCTATCAATTATTGATGGAGAAAATCAGGAAACAGCACGGCACATTGGAAATATGTATGGTTTGGCCCTCATGTATCGGGTGAATAAGTTTATTGAAAAAGAAAATGCGTCTAAAACTGGGAAGAAAGAAGTTTGTCATTCTGTTGAGCTTGATGACTACACAAGCGTATCATTAACGCCAAGTAATAAGTTAACTTCAACTAATAAAACAAAGTGTCAAGGATTTCAATTCAGCCCGTCTTTGGCTGTAAAGGGCGATAAGAAAGCTGTGTCTGCTGCTCACTCCACGTCTCTTAATGACATAGCACGTAGAAAATCTAAGAGACGCTGCATCCCGTCAACATTCGGTGCTCATTTTCCTAGACTCTCCTCTGGTGCCAGGTCCAATACGTCCCCTGAATGTGTCATTTCTGCAAAATCTGTGACTTTGTCTTCATCTAATGTTTCTACAGATTCTTTTAGTAGTATGTCCCCTAACATTTCATCACCTGTGAATTCTGTTAGTTCTTTAACTCCTGTTTCTGGATCTCTTAATTCTGTTTTACTAGATAATTCTGTTGATTCGGCTTCTACTTCAGTGCAGTTAATATCTTCTATACCAATCTCGTGCGCACCTTGTGACTCTTCTATTTTATTTAGTACTACTATAGAACTTGGCAATTCTGTTTCATCTTGTGTCTCCACACCATCTTTATCAAAACAAACTAGCTCAAAAGTTGAGGCTTCTTCCATGAGTCTTGCTTTACCATCACCAAAAATTTGCACTAGTCTCAAAACTCATCCAGTGAATGGAATTCATGCAAAAATGGACTCTAGCGTGAAATCCGTCGCTTCACGAGCGACGCGATCAGTGACGCGATCAGTAACTAAACACATTACAACTGCAGCTCAGAGACCCACCAGAAGACATATCATTTCTTCTAATCCTAAACCCTCTAGACTGATTATCACCAAGGATTCATCAAGATGGGATGCAACCAGTAAATTGAAGTCGACTGCAAGGCAGAAAAAAATAAACAAAATTGCAGTATCTTCAAAATGCAAAATTTTACCAACACGTGGTATGTCGACTGAACGTGCCACATCTGCTCAGCGTAAAGCTTCTACCAAAAAGAATTCCTTGGTGGCACGTAAAACTTCTATCAAACAGAATTCTTTGATGACGCGTAAAACTTCTACCAAACAGAATTCTTTGATGACGCGTAAAACTTCTACCAAACAGAATTTTTTGGTGACGCGTAAAGCTTCTACCAAACAGAATTCTTTGATGACGCGTAAAACTTCTACCAAACGGAATTCTTTGATGACGCGCAAAGCTTCTACCAAACAGAATTCTTTGAAGGCAGCTGTTAATTCTACCAGGTCTGGAAGAGTTCCAAAAAAGAAAAGTGTCCTTGATCTTTAAGAGAACTAAGGTTTCAGTTTACAGGTAATAAAAAAAAAATCCTTTTTTTTTCATTTAATTGCATATATCTACTCAGTAGTGAAAACTTAACTTTCGTGTACCTATTAAAGTTGACATTAAACTCTTTGCGTGATGTTTGTCTTGTTCAATTTCTTATCATGATTCAAAGCTTTCTTAATTTTGTAATTTAGAAGTTTAGTTTATTGATCTTAGAGCCGTTTTAGTTAAATTGGTTTTGGAAAAAAGGAAAGACTATGGTACTACTGTAGTATCGTGCATCTTGTTGAGCAATTGTAGGTACTGTATAATAATTTGTGATCATATTGTAGATCTTGGCAAGCTGATGTAGGCATAACAATTAAACTCAGGATCATACAGCAGACTTTGCCATATTATTGAAGGTAAAATAACCGGGGTCTGATTTGTATGATCAATAAGTCGGCCAATATAGACACACCCTTCATTAAATGGAAAGTGCATGTACTGTATTGTGAAATGCTGAATGTCAGCGATTATATGTAATTTCTTATTTTTGTACAAAACTTTTTTCATTTCCTGTTCATTCTCCAACTGTGCTTTTCATACCCTACAAACTATTCAATCTCTACAATACTTTGCAACTCCTTCAATATTTTGCATCACATTCAAAACGTTTCCATAATTTCTTGGCGAGTGCCTTCCTACCCCATCAATATGGGGAAATAAGGTAATAAGGATATAGTGAATTTTAATTTTATTTTTTGTCAAATAGGAATAACTGTGTATGGAAAGCCTGGTTAACAAACTTATTTTAGATTTTGGATATTGTGATCCAACCACTTGAACTGGATGGTACAGCCATGGCCTCAAATACTGCAGGTCAGCATTCGATTCCCGACAGTCCAAGTGGTTAGACAACATTCCTTCCCACCGCCCTATCCCAGATCTTTGTCCTAATGTTCCCCTCCAAGTACCAAAAACAGTACGACTATATAATAGTCGTATGGGTTTTGTGTTTTCTTCTCTTAATTACCTTACCTTTGGATACTACTGTCAATGCCAGATTTCTCAGAGTTATATTTTTCTTTTTAGTGTTTTTCTTTGTGATGCATTGGTGTTAAATTTAGTTTAGTTCTTTTTATAAAATATTATGGAATAATAAAAGTGTATATAAATATTTTGTCTCAATCATAACTGCAACAAGGTGTATACTATAATTTAACCCAAAAATATTTAACATATAAAAACAAGGATGTATATGAAAACCTTTAAGTGGATAGTTTGGATTATGTGTGAGTTAAGGGTATAGAGTCTGTACCACCAACCAGTGATCTACATTTTCTCAACCACCAATTTGGTTTAATGATTTGTGAGTTCTTATTGAAACTGCCTGAAGCTTGACTTCCCAGCTACAGTACTCTCCTGCTACTCCCTTATTACTGTATTTACTGGCAAATCACCAGTCTCCGTGGTGTAGTGGTAAGACACTCACCTGGCGTTCCGCGAGCACTTTGTCATGGGTTCGTATCCTGGCTGAGGAGGATTTACTGGGCGCAAATCCTTAACTGTAGCCTCTGTTTAACTCAACAGTAAAATGGGTACCTGGTTGTAAAAACGATTCTTCATGGGGGTCGTATTCCAGTGACTTGCCCGAAACGCTACGCATACTAGTGGCTGTACAAGAATATAAGAACTCTTGTATACAGTATATCTCAAAAAAAAAAAAAAAAAAAAAAAAAAAAAAAGGCATGTTTTTGGTCAAACCTCATGTGTATTGTAATTACATGCACAAAATCTGATGCTTTCCCCTTCAAAATCAATTTCAATAAATGTTTAATGAAACATTTAAATAAACTATCCTTGTAAATTGTCATTTATGCTGGCAAGTATGATAATTTCCAATTTTCACATGTTGAGGCAATCATAATCCTTCAAAAATACAGTACAGTATTCCTATTGATACAGTCCTGTGGCAACTGTTTAAATCATGTCAAATATTTATATGGTGGAGTCAAATATACTTTAACTACTAAAGTATATATTTCAAGCACCACTCCAATTTCAACACCTTCAGGTAACTAAATCAGATGAATGAGATTACTCCATTAAGGATGGGGGTTCTTAGGAGAACAATGTGTACAATAGTAGAGATACAAAAATAAAAAGAAATATTGTACAGTATGGCAATTAGAGTATTCTTCAAAACTGTTAACTTTATGATAAGTGGGTGAATGACTTATCTTATACACACTTTACTACACTACACTACATTTGTTCACTTATATTTAAGCATGATGTAATTAGGCCCATATTTAGTGAAGATATGAAGTGAGTGAGTGGCTTCTACACAATGATGACAGCCTTCTCCCTTCCTGCCTGCTAATGTGACGTACCTCCTCCATGCTGAAGCATGTTTGGCCCTTCAGGGTGCCTGACAGCTAAGTGGACAGTGCTCGGGATTCATAGTCCTAAGGTTCCGGGTTCAATCCCTGGTGGAGGTGGAAACAAATGGGCAGAATTTCTTTCACCCTAATACCCTGTTCACCTAACAGCAAATAGGTATCTGGGAGTTAGACAGCTGCTGCGGGTGGTTTCCTGGGGATGTGTAACAAAAAGAAGGCCTGGTTGAGGACTGGGCCGCGGGGACACTAAGCTCCAAAATCATCTCAAGATAACCTCCTCGTTACCCTGGTAGGTGGTACTCGATGACCCTAGAGGTTCAACTTCTTTTTTTTTTATCACTTGTTTTTCAAAAAAATTTCATAATTTTTCCCTCTCAGGCTCATGTGATGAGCAAATGGACTCAAGAGTTAGGGTCCTTTGGATGATCGGTTTCCTCCTTATTTACCTGAATTTACCTGAGGGCCACTAATACTAGTGACATCAATGAGGAGAGGAAGTCAGCAGCTTTTCAAAGGAACCCTCCATTTGCCCTGGTGATTTTTTCCAGCTGAATTTTAAAACCCGGCAGAGTTTTGGCATTTATGGCTTCAGCGGGTAGGTGGTTCCACGGGTTAACAACCCTATGGGTGAAAAAGCATCTCTTGTTTTCTGTCCTACATTGTGGTTCCTTGAGCCTAAACCTGTTGCTCCTCATTTGTGTTACATCTGACTTTTTGAAGAAATTGACTGGATCAACATCCTCCAAATTGTTCAGTATTTTAAAGGTATTAATGAGATCTGCCCTGTCATGCCTGGTTTGCAGTACTGTTATCCCAGTGGCCTTCAACCATTCCTGATATGTGAGATAATTAAGCTCTGGTATAATTTTTGTTGCCCGGTGTTGCACTTTCTCCAGAGCAGCTATGTCTATCTGAAGATGAGGTCTCCATGCCTGGATGCAATAATCCAGGAGGGGGCACATCAGAGACTTATACAATTGAACAACTACTTTCTTTTCCTTGAAGATAAAGGTACGCTTGATTATTCCCAGGGTTTGCTTCGCTTTTTTTCACTTGTTGTGCAACTTTTAATGAATGATAGATTCTGATTCCAAGGTCCTTTTCTTCATCTATCTGTTGTAAGGTAGTTGTGACAGGGACTGTTGTGCCCAACATGCAAGGTCTTGCATTAATCAACGTTAAAAAGCATTTGCCAATCATCTGGCCATTTGTGAAGTTTATATAGATCTTTGATGAGGTCTCATTATCACCTTCACTTCCCACTTTACCATAGATTTTAGTGTCATCTGCAAATTTGATGATGTGGTTTGTAATATTCTCATCTGTCATTGATGTATATGACAAAAAGGGTTGGCCCCAAAATGGACCCCTGTGGCACCCCACTTAGCACATTTCCCCAGTCAGATTCATTCCCTTTAGCATGACCCTTTGTTTTCTATGTTTTAACTATTGTTTTATCCATCCCAGTATTCTCCCATTTATTCCATGTTGTTGACCAGTGTTTTGTAAATGTAAAGCACATACTAGAAGTTGAAGGGACGACGACGTTTCGGTCTGTCCTGGACCATTCTCAAGTCGATTGTGAATGGTCCAGGACGGACCGAAACGTCGTCGTCCCTTCACCTTCTAGTGTGTGGTCTGGTCAACATACTTCAGCCATGTTATTGTGACTCCTCATCTCCAACTGAGTGTTCATTATTTGTTCGACTCTATAAAATGAATGGTACAAAGTTCTATTATCTAATTGCTTAGAACGTCAATCTTTATACTATGGTGCACATAGTTGCAAAACTACTATCTAAACAGGAGAATGGGTTGATATATAAAATAAAAAAGTAACAAGAATTATGGGTTATTATGAACAATTTGGAGGATATTGATTCAGGCCACTAGTTCAAAAGGTCAGATGGAACACAAACAAGGAACAACGGTTTCAAGCTCAACAAGCCACGATGTAAAGCAGCAAACAAGAAATGCTTTTTCACCCATAGGGGTATGAATCCGTGGAACCGCCTACCCGCCGAAGCCATAAATACCAAAACACTGCTGTAATTCACGATCCAAATATATGATAATATCAGGACAAATGGGGGGTGAACTATTGACAAGCCATCGGCTTCCTGTCCTCGTTGAGGCCACAAGAGAGAGATGGTGACCCTCAGGCAATAAACTTTCCAATAATCAAATCCACGCATTACCAACAAAATAAATGACATAGTTAGTCATCAAATCATGCCTGCTGGTATCGTTTTCTATGATATATTTTAATTCATTGAAAATGAGAATATTTTGGTAAACTAAAGTAATAAATTTTTCAATGGCATGGATTGATTTCCAATTGTCGGGGACGGGAAACCTATATTAGGCTTATAGAGGTCTCTCCATAGTCCCACTGATGACCTGCCCCAGAATGCAACCCAGAACAGCTGTCTAGCGCCTGTACGTATGTCAACCGTGGCGAGAAATGCTGAAAAATTCGGGTTTCCTCTAGAATTTACAATGAGAATTTACTAGAATTACTTTTTCTCTCGAACTTTGGTTTGATGCTCATATAAGCCTATAACGTATATGACTACACTCTGGCTGCCTGTCCCGCGACACAACGAATTATTAATTATTTCCATTTAGGGCGACCTCTTTCTTTCTAGGGTTATTAACCCATGGAACCGCCTACCCGGCGTAGCCTAAACTGCCAAAACTGTACTGAATTTCAAAATATACATAATCAAGGCAAATGGGGAGGGGGGAGGACCTTCGACAAGCCGCCAGCTTCCTGTCCTCGTCGAGGCCACTATAGGGTTAGTGGCTCTCGGGTATAATTTATCGGAAGCTTTTTGTCTGAATAAATGGTTACAGTGTCGAAAAATATTAGGCAGGATTATTTTGTTTACAAATGTACTGCTTTTAAAAGTTTGTCCGTTGCGAGACGGTGAATTCAAAATTCAAAATTCAAAATGATTTGAATTCAAAATCAAATTCAAATGATTTCCTTCCTTGGGATTCCCTCCATGAGCTGGCAAACATGTAATTACCTAAGTGTAGTTACAGGATGAGAGCTACGCTCGTGGTGTCCCGTCTTCCCAGCACTCTTTGTCATATAACACTTTGAAACTACTGACGGTCTTGGCCTCCACCACCTTCTCCCCTAACTTGTTCCAACCGTCTACCACTCCGCGAAAGTGAATTTTCTTATATTTCTTCGGCATCTGTGTGTGAGAGAGATATTGGGCTTATCGGTCGGGAGATTTCTGCCTAACCTGTTCTGCCGTTCACGAAGGCCAGATGACAACTGTATATTTATAATCTTAAGGAAACTTAAGATTATCTGATCAACAGTGTCAGCGGCACAGTTCATCAGTCAGTTTCTTTACGATTTTGTAGTGAGTTTTGGGGCCAGATTCACGAAAGCAGTTACGCAAGCACTTACGAACCTGTACATCTTTCCTCAATCTTTGGCAGCTTTGTTTACAATTATTAAACAGTTAATGAGCTCCGAAGCACCAGGAGGCTGTTTATAACAATAACAACAGTTGAATGGGAAGTTTTCATGCTTGTAAACTGTTTAATAAATGTAACCAAAGCCGTCAAAGATTGAGGAAAGATGTACAGGTTCGTAAGTGCTTTCGTGAATCTGGCCCCTGGAGCTTATAACGAAACGAAGAGGAGGCGGGAACATAGTACTAATTATAAATGTTAAGAATGAGGGCATATATGTAGGTTTTAACTATTGCACATATTAACCATACAATATGTATATAAAACACGCCCAGTAA